CTAATCAATAACATGTTATGTCAAAAAAAATCAATTAATTCATTAAGTATTTATACATTTACAAAGTACTGTCAGCTAGATACTCGTTTACACTATAATATGCTTTAGCTACTAACAATTTACAAAGTTTTCTTTTAAAAACATTACAATTATCCAGATTACGTATTGTTTTTGGAATTTTATTAAAAATTTTTGGAGCCATACAAAATATACTTTTGTTCAACAGTGCTGTCTTAGAGGGTATTGTACACAATTTGTCTCGATGACGCAATCTCGTCTTATTTTCAAACAGTTGTTGATTCTGTTTGACAAAAATACCAACTTCGAATATATAGATTGATGGCAGGGTCATAATATTTAGTTTAATAAAATATGGCCTACAGGTATCCGTACTCTGTAAGTGACACATGCTCCTAACACATTTTTTCTGGGCTCTAAAGGCAGTTACAGAATCAGTCGAATATCCCCAAAATATAATGCCGTATCGAACAGTAGAAACTACGTACGCGTGATAAGCTGTAAGGACCGTGCACTGATTCGCGATCCTACTAAGTTTGTACAGTGCACAAGAATACTGGGACAACTTTTTGCAAACATGTTCAGTGTGTGTTTTCCAAGTCATCCTTTTATCAATATACAAACCCAGAAATTTTGTAACATCTGATTCTTTTATTTGTGTACCAGCATAGTTAATGTTTAAGTCAAAGAGTTTGTTAGTCCTTTGTCGGAAATTCATAAATTGAGTTTTTTCTAGATTTATTTTAAGATCGTTATAATTTAACCACTGAATAATTAACTTTAATGTCATATTTATTTCATTTTCATGATCACCTACATCACTATTACCTATGAACAGAAGAGTACTATCATCTGCAAACAAAGTCATGTCATGATTAGTTATATTGGGCATGTCGTTAATATATATCAAAAATAATAGGGGTCCCAGCACACTGCCTTGAGGCACGCCAAAGGGATAATTATATCTGATTTTAGATGAATATACAACTTCTGTTCTAGTCCTTTGACAGATTTTTTTAAGTTGTGTTTTTTGTCGTCGATTAGATAAATATGACTCTATTAGTTTGTGTATATTACCGCGGATTCCATATTGATATAACTTAGATAATAAGATCCTATGATTAACGTGATCAAAAGCTTTGCTCATATCCATGAAGAGCGCTGTCGCACGAACTCTGGCATCCATACTCTTCGTTACTTTTTGCAAAAAATTGAATATCGCCATATTTATAGTTTTACTCTTCCTGAATCCCATTTGTTGGTTTGCTAATATGTTATGTGATTCAAGAAAATTATAGATAGCTCCATAAATTACCTTTTCCAATATTTTAGAAAAAATGGGTAACAAAGCTATCGGCCTATAAGAATTCATTTCTTCCTCACTATGCTTTTTGAAAATTGGTTTAATTGTTGATATTTTAAGTCTATCAGGAAATATTCCCTGTTCTATACATAAATTTGTTATGTAACTAATTACAGGAGCAATAATTTCTGCCACTTCTTTCACAACTTTTGTTATTATGCCATCATAGCCCGCACTATTTGAATTATTCAGTTTTGTTATTATTTTTAAAATTTCACTAGAATTTGTAGGGTTAATAAACACAGAATTGCATTGATTTTTAATAGTTTTGCATGTCCAATTTTTGTTTTGATTGGAATCATCTTTAATTTGGTCAATAAAATAGTCATTAAAAGCAGATACGATTGTTTTAGGATCATTTATTATTTTATTATTTATTCTTATCTTAGATATTTCGTCACAGGGGAGGTGTTTTCTCTTGTTGTTTATGACTTGCCAAGTCGCTTTAGATTTATTTTTAGATGATGTAATTAAGTGGTTGTTTTTTGCTTTTTGTGTTAGTTTAATTATGGTTCTAAGCCTCTTTGCGTATTGTTGGAAAATATCTTTATTGTTTGTGTTTTTGTTAGTTCTATATTTCCACAGTAAAATTCTTTTCTTTTTACAGCATGTTTTGATTCCTGGTGTTAACCATTTTGGGCGAGATATTAAATTTTGCCTGATTTTTAGTTTTGGAAAACATAAGTTGTAGAAAAGCAGGAATGTTTCATAAAACTCGTTAAAAGATTGATTTGCTTCTTTGGATTCGAAAACATTACTAAAACTAATTTGACTCAAGCAATTTTTAAATTTGGAACAATTTTCGCCAGAGTAATCAATTCTGTATCTAAACCAGTATGGAAATGTGCATGTCTTTTTGACTGGACATTTCATAATTTGTGCAGTATGATCTGATAATGCATATTCAATTACTTCGGCTTTACAGCGATATATATTATGCAAGAAGTTGTCAAGACACGTGCCACTACTCATTCGAGTTGGTTCTCTAATTGCGATTTTAAGGTTAAAACTCCAACATAGTTCTTGAAATTCCTTTGAATATCTGGTCTGTTTTAAAATATCTATATTGAAATCACCAACTATAATAATTTTGTGATTTCTTAATTTATTTAAAATATTATGTAATGTGAAAAAGAATGTCGCATATGATTGCGATTTGCCATTCCGTGTTCTTAAATCTTGGGATTAGATCATTAATAAACAAAACGAATTTTATATTGGCCCTAAATGTAAGCCTTGGGGAACGCCAGATATAACTAAGATTGGGATAGGCTGCGATCGATTACCAGGGGCTGATCTTTGGGTGGGGGACAAGTGTCTAACTATTGAAAACTATTGAGCTATCAATCCACAAGGGCAACGCCATTAATTTAAAAGATGAAGAAGAAAGTACTCCCGAGTGCCATAAATTAATGTTTAATTAACTTTTTTGTTCCATTCCTAAACGGAAAGGGAGGATGTCAATTTAATTGTCAATAGTAACGTCAACCAACGTCATTTTAGACAACAACATAACCTCAATCGTCGAATTTCAAACTATGAAAATTCGTAAAAAAGGCAGTTTAAATTTTACTAGATCACTTTTTCTAATTATTTAATAAAAAGCCTATGGTTTTCGTGCATATCATTAACAAATTATATGTATGTCTTCTCAAAAATGTTGCTCAAAAGTTCCGAAAATCATAGAAGTATCTGTCACTTCTTTTCATATAAATTAGATCACAAAATTAGATAGTCAATAGACTTATCAATCGCTTAAAGTTATCTAAAACTGTGCTGGTGTGTCCAGTTAACATAAAACATCTTACGTAAATCCTGCAGTTGTTCTTGTTGGTATAAAAACTTTAAACAAAGTAAAAAATTAAGGTAAAAACATTTATAAATAATATCTTTAATGAAAAATGCTTAAGTTCTCTGATACCTCGAGATGAGGTGATGGGTTTCCGTCCCATCTCAGGGTACCTGGGGCTGGTGAATGTTCAAAACATTTTTATTAAAGATAATTAATATCAGACATGAAAAATTGCTATAAACCAATTTAAATATTTGTACTGAATATTTTCTGACCTTTTGTAATAATATTTGATTTTTCAGTTGAAACTATTTGGTTATAGAAAAAAACCTGATTTTACATATAGGTTATACTGTTAATCAAAGAATGGAAAAATCATATCTATTAATTTAATAAAAACTGGACAAGTTGTATTTACCCACCAAGTATTTCATATTATATTGATTATAAATAGTTCTCGATGGGGGTCTATTCATTCTCAGCTCTCCATTCATTACTGAAATCAGGAGTCTTCATAGACAGATGGATGGACCACAAAGTGGTCCTATAAGGGTTCCATTTTTTTATATTTTGAGGTTAGCAATCCTTAAAATACTAATCAATCTATAAACAAATGAATCACTAAAACTGACTGCAGGGTGTCTAAAGTAGTAACGTTGTATGTTATATATTATGTCCATGAAATGTTTCATTTTTCAAAGCTCTAACAACAAGTTATTTGATGAAACATAAATTCAATAATTTGAATTGCAATATTATTGAACATCAATTTGACAATTTTGCATATTATGGTACATCAAATTGGAGAAATATTAGATATCACTAGATAACCAACCTTTTAGGTTTCATATTTGCAATATTCTCATTGCTCTTGCATATTTAGTTAATATTTCATGCTATATTACTATTTTAGACCCCCAGATCAATCTACAACTTACAAATAAATAACAGGTGACATTAGAATTCTGGCAATTCGCCTTATGCTGGTGTGTAGAAGTCCATAATGTTTTCATACAAAAAAAATTAAAACATGTTTCGCTACCTCTTTTGACTTGTTCCATTAAGATTCATTTACTTTTCCTTAATATACACCATCTGATTTTAGCATGTCTCAAGACTTCAAACATCTCAGCAGTGTGTCTCCTGGCCTCACAGATGACCGATTGAGCCAAGCTTTGACAGAATGGCACCAAGAACTTGTCAAGTTTACACACTGGGAGGTAAACTAATTAAACAGCTTAACTGCACAGTGGTATGCCTATTCTACTATTACAGTGGCTAAACAACTTTTGTGAAGGCCGGTTATCAGATGGATGACCAAACATTTATTATATCGAGCTCATCCATGCTTCCAAACACATGTTAATTAAACCATTGGTCCCTGCGGTATCTATAGTCATTAACATACACCTAACTATAAGTTTGTGAGTTAAGCCCCTTTCTTACTCTGTGATTCCCTCCATAGGAGATGGTTATTTATATTCCCAGCATTGATGGCAACAAAATTTTCAGACTAGCAGTACCTTAGGAGTTCTTTTGTCATTGGCTAATTACACGTTTTTATTGGTGTGTACCTATTTTCGTCTTTTCTACGTTAGTCCATGTTTTGATCCACTTATTCACGTATACCTGTTTAACGTAAAGCAAAAATTACAGGCATACTGAAATGTCAGCCTTTATAAAACTTGCACATTTTTGGCACAAGCTCTTAGTTTAATACCGGTGACCATGTCTACGCACGGCGAATCAATCGTAGGTTTTCTCGGCCAAAAATCTACATATAAATTATTGCCTAGATTCTATTTTTGGGAACAGGCACATTAAGTAACTAATTATTTGTCGCGAGTAGAGCATGACGCGTACTTGAGCATTTTTTCCTGAATCGAGATAGGTAAAATTTTACTCTTCATACCAGTTTTTAACAATAAAATCTTTTTTCTAGTATGTAAGTGAAACAAACAAAGGGGACTCGTATTTGAGTGAACTCATGCGCATAAAGATTTATGGCACAAACCAAAACGGTGACTCCAAACAGGTGCAAGTCATTTTAAAAAACATTCCAAAGAGTACATCTAGAAAGCTAACGTTTAGAAGTGATGAATTCTTTAAAAACGAGATCAATTTCTACGAGAAAGTCTTGCCAGAGTTACTCAACTTTCAGGCCAAGAAAACACTTACAGAGCCTTTCAATAAATATGCCAAGTTGTTTCTAAGTTATTCTGATGGGGCAAATGATGTGATATGTTTAGAAGATGCTTCACTGCAAAACTTTGGTTCTGCCGTCAGACAGACCGGAATAGATGTGGCGCACTGCAGGTTAGCTTACAAAGCACTCGCCCAGTTTCATGCCCTTTCATTCGCTATGAAAGATCAGAACCCTATCGAGTTTAATAAAATAAAGGATTTAATCTTTGAAACATACTACGATGAGCGTTTAAGGAATTGGTATTCACGTTTCTGGAATAGAATCTCCGGAATAGCTATAGACGCAGTTGAAAAAGAATATCCAAACTCTAAATATATCGATAAAATTAAAGAATTCGCGGTTCCCGAAAGGTATGATGATATGATCAGAGCTGTATCAGATACAACAAACGGAGTTATATCCCATGGGGACAGCTGGACCAACAATTTCCTATTTAAATATCAGGATGACGTCCCGATCGATGCTAAACTTATAGATTTCCAACTATCCAGATATGCATCTCCGGTTCTGGACGTAGTTTTCTTTATATATGCCTGTACTGGCAAAGATCTGAGAGACAAACATTATAGGGAGCTCCTGGATTACTATTACGACGTGCTCAGTCAGCAGATGAGGGAGATGGGCAGTGACCCGGACAGAATTTATTCCCGTGAAGCCTTCTGGAGCGATGTTAAGAAGTATTCTTATTTTGGTCTGGCGTTCAGTTTTGAATCAACACCTATGATTGTTTTGGAACCAGACGATGCAGTGGACATGGAGATGAAGGTAATTTAGAGTAATAATAATTTAATAAATTATAGTTTTTTTAGTACCTACACTCTGAAAATTCATTCTAACCAACCTTATAATGGGAGAGGAAGCGGTGGGCGGGCTGTCTGTCTGTCCTTGTTTCTTGATATTGTCAGTTAGGATAGGTAGAATAGAAGGAGGAGGACCTTCGTTACGGTTCCCGGATCATTTCTACCACGCGACAGTACTCCGCTATTTAAATTTTGTATACAGGTTTAGTTTAGATAATAAAAGGAATGGTTAGTTAGTTAAATTACATCTTTTACAATATAATAATGCGGACGATCCAAAATTTATTGTGTACTTTCATAATGTCGGTCAATCAAAATAAAGGGATTGTGAATACCTACACAAAAGTAAGTTGTTATTAAATATTTGTCTTATAAGAAAAATAAATATTTTTCGTTGTAAGAGTATAGATTACTCAACTAATGCGGTTTTCGTTTCGTTCGTTTGTCGTTATTAAAGTACATGTCAAAGTAGTAAAATGAAACGATATATCGTAAAAAAAACGTAATCGTAAAAAGCTAGAATCAAGGCTAGAGAGTTAGTTGGTCGCTTCCCCGGTAAATATATAACTAATAATATATAACGAAAATACAAACTAATTATGATATTTATCATTATTTTACAGGGCGACCTCAAAATGAATATAGATGATGTCTGGCAGGTCGGTCCGTTCAAGACGAAAGAAGGTCGTCTGAGGGAAGCAAACAACATTGTTCACTGCGTAGACCATGGGTATATATAAAACATATATATATACATATATATTGATTTAGATCATTTAGAGGAATCATTATTTCTTATTACTACATATTACGCACATACCTACTGGCATGAAGTCGCAGAATTGCAAAAAGGTAGTAGCTAATATTGGCCCAGTAAAAGCATTTATGTAGGCAACATTAAATTAATATCAATATTCATGTTTGACTAGCTCTGTAAATGAATAAATTAGTTATTTACAGAGTTTGTTGTCTATGTAGTTGTATGCCTTTAAGTAAAAACAAATACAATATTATTTTCCACAATAAACCTACTGTAGGCTAGGCAACGGTGGTTCACGAGGGTAGGTGATTAAAATGAAAATGTCCGATTTTGGTAAAACAAATTTTCCGCTGATAGTGCAAATGCGTTCGCGTCGTAAGTATGGTAGCGGATCGCGCTCGTTGCTCACTCTTTCGCTGTGAAACTGAGACTGACTAAAAAGAAGACCAGACGGCCGGTTGTGGGTGGTAAGATGTGCGCGAGCGCCCTCTTCCTATTGGTCGGACTCAAACGGATGAGGGTAACACGCCAGTCCGACATTAGTTTTGCACCATCAGCGAAAACAAACATTTATTAAAAACAAAAGATAACTGAGTGTGGCACTTACAGAATAATAAAATATACAACTAAACGTAAATTAAAAAGGAGCGGGCCGATTGTAACATTGTCGTCAACACCTACCATTCACACAAGGTGCGTTCAGAAATTAAGTTTATTCAACATGGACTCATTATATAATTTTGCTGTTGACGATGTTCGCCGAGCCAAATATTGTTATTTAGATAAAACATATAATGTTATATTTTAATAGTTAATTTAAGTTTATAATGATTATACTGCATATTATAAAACATTATTTTTATTAAAAATATATTTACAAAAGTATTTTTTACTATTTTTGTATTATTTAATGTTGTTTAATAAAGGTTCACATGTATTTATCTGTGTGGCATCACATGGAAGTTGTTATTATTAGTCCTTACAAATAGTAGTAATAGGGGATCGGACAGCAATTAGACAAACAAATAAATTATATTATGTGGATAAAAAGTTCATTAAATTTAAAGATTATTCACCGAATATTTTTGCTAAATAACAATTATTTATATTTTTAAATCGATAAACAAAATTACAATTTTCCAATATTTGTAGTCTGCATCTCACGTCAAATTAAACACCAATCAGAGCGCATGACGTCATCTGTGAGTAAATTGGTTTATGTGTACCTACCAGAATCTTATGGCAAAATGAGAAATTTAATTTGTAGAACGAACATTAGGAGAAAAAGATATAGACGTCTTAATGCTTGTAATATTTTTATATAATAAAAAACTTTTCAATAACTGCCTCATATCAGTGAACATACTTCTGATCTTCCGACCACAGGTTCCCCCCCTGCTTAGCAGGCTGTCTTTTTAGCTTTTTTATGTTTTCATGCTTTTCTTTTTTTCTTTTTTATGTTTCCAGGTTTATGCCTGTTTGGTCTTTGGGGAATGCTCTTTTTCCCTCTTTTTTGCTTATTCTTATATTCTAGTACATTTTCCTTATTTGCTATTTACATGTTTTCATTTGTTATTTACATTCTTCTTATATCTAATTTACATTCTTATATATCTTATTTACATTTTGTTTTTCCTTTATAATTACTCTCTATTTATTTTATACAATACAATATTGATTGCCTACTTCTTAATTCTAATTTTACATTTCTTTGTTGTTTGCATTTGTCATTTATTTAGTCTTTATTTCTCTTTGCAACCTTTTCAATTATAATACAAGCATGTCTCATAAATTTCTCCCTTTCTTTATTCTCTGCCACTATTGTTTCCAAATTTTCCTTGCTAAGTTTTGTGTTTAAGTGATTTTGTAAAGTGTGCCTGTCGTTTCCGAATATTGGACATTCTAGTAGGACGTGGAACACGTCTTGTTTTGCTTGGGGGTCGCACTCACAAAATGGGGTAGGTATCCTTACGTTTATAATCATGGAGGTAGGACTTAAACCCTCCATGCCCCGTTAGCAGTTGTGCAGCCCACCTGTCTATCTTCATCTTTCTTACCACTCCGAAGGCCCTTTCCCCGCTAGGGAAAAAGACCTTCGTAGTGGCGGCGGTGTTTTCGCTCTTATAACGGCTATCCCATTCTACCTTTGTCAAATTGCGTAAATGCCTTTTGACACTTGGGGCAGCCATCATAGTGCGGTTTGCACTTCAATCCGAGAGCCGCCCCCTTCGCCAGCTCGTCCGCCCTCTCGTTCCCAATCACGCCGACGTGGGCCCTGATCCAAAATAGGGAGACCCTTTGGCCTAGTTCCCTAAGTTGTACCAGGTTGCCTTGAATCGCCTTCGTGATTGGGTGCGAAGAGTCCGGATCCTGTAGCGACTGTAAGGCGGATCTCGAATCGCTGAGTACCGCCGCATCCTTCCATTCTTTATTCATCATGCACTCTGTTGCTTGGAGGATGGCATACAGCTCGGCCTGGAAGACTGTGCAGTATGGCTCCAGCTTAAACTTTCGGGAAGCGATCTCAACAGCCCCTTTCCAACAGGTCAGGGCTGCACCGACTTTTCCCTCAAGTTTGCTGCCATCTGTATAGATCTTCACAAGGTCTTCTGCTAGTTTACCATCCTCTTCTGCATTTTCCAAACACTCAAACTCTATCATACTTAGGCTGCCTGTGTGGTTCGATTCCTGTAAGGATACCCTCTGCTCTATTTTCCTGCCACTTAGTATTGCCTGGGGTTTCCCGCGCTTTGCTTCATAAAGCCGGGATGCTTCTTGGACCCTAAGGTCCAGCGGAAGCAGCCCCGACAATACTAATGCGGAATTTAGCGATACTGTCCTGTAAGTTTTTGCAATTTTCTGTGCGAACCCCCTTTGTACCACTGTATGCCGATCTGGAACTCGGAGCCGGTGTATATGGGGGCGGGGTGGGGAGGTGTGGGGGGCTACCACTGTATGCCGATCTGGAACTCGGAGCCGGTGTATATGGGGGCGGGGTGGGGAGGTGTGGGGGGCTACCACTGTATGCCGATCTGGAACTCGGAGCCGGTGTATATGGGGGCGGGGTGGGGAGGTGTGGGGGGCTACCACTGTATGCCGATCTGGAACTCGGAGCCGGTGTATATGGGGGCGGGGTGGGGAGGTGTGGGGGGCTACCACTGTATGCCGATCTGGAACTCGGAGCCGGTGTATATGGGGGCGGGGTGGGGAGGTGTGGGGGGCTACCACTGTATGCCCATCTGGAACTCGGAGCCGGTGTATATGGGGGCGGGGTGGGGACGTGTGGGGGGCTACCACTGTATGCCGATCTGGAACTCGGAGCCGGTGTATATGGAGGCGGGGTGGGGACAGGTGGGGGGCTACCACTGTATGCCGATCTGGAACTCGGAGCCGGTGTATATGGAGGCGGGGTGGGGACAGGTGGGGGGCTACCACTGTATGCCCATCTGGAACTCGGAGTCGGTGTCGCTGGTGCCGGGGGGCGGCATGGGCCCCCGCGTCATGGACCCCCCGCGCTTGCCCTCCTCCTCCGTTCCTGACACATACAGTTTTATTGTAATAACAGTAAGGTATGTAATACTATGCTCACTGGCATTACAACCTATACTAAGTATCTTATAAGAAGCTAAAGAGAGCAGTCTATAAAGTGTTATTTATATACAGGGTTATTTATTAAAAAATAGATAAACGATAATGTTTAATCTACAAATTTTAACACAACTCGATACTTGAAATCTCGCTAATATAGAGTGAACACTCGCTTCGCAGCCGCCTATCACAGCGCGAGTTTTACACGAGAACTTCGACACGCTGTCGGTGTGCAAATTCTACTATATAGATATGGTTTATCTGTCATCTATGCCTGTAGTCTCGAGAATTCGCTGGCATTTAACAGCTCTTCCTGTATAACGAATGATCTCTGAAAGCATTGCACCTGTATTTACCTGTAAAAGTACAGTTAAGGGCACGTCAGATTATACAAAACTAGAATGGGCATGGCAAGAGCAAGTGTAGAGCGAGCAACAAACCCTCCCCGCGGCCGCGCGGCGTGGTGGTGTCCCACGTGGCGTTGTCCACGGCCGTGGTGGTCCACAGGTCGAACTCGGGCACCCACATCTTCTCGTCCAGCGGCTCGAACCCGAAGCCGGTCATGTCCGGCGTGCCGCGGTACTCCTCCTGCGGTCGGTGGAACAATTTTCGTGAAACCTCCGTGCGAAAGAAAGAGACGAGGCCGGTGATATTACTCACTCTGGTCATAGAGAAATCTGCGTAAAACGTTCCCTCCTCCCACTTCCACTCCTGGACGTCGATCAGAGTCATATTCTTCTTCCAGCCCCACGCGATCATTTCGAATTGACACGTATCCGAATATACTATGTACACGGATATCTCGAACAGCGTTCCTGATTCATGAACAAAATAATTAATTATGATTATAAAGCATCGCCGATCTTTATGTTCGCCCGATTGTCATTTTTTCATAGTAAATCAGTAAGAGAAAGTTACAAAATAAAAATATTAATTTATATGGTAGGTACCTAAATGTTATCACGTGTTATATATGTATCAAAATGTCCAAATGAACAAGTTAATATGTAATATATATTTTACAAACGTCAAGATGGCAGAATCGAAATAATAATTATATCGAAATATATTAAAGTTTTAAAGTTCGTCATGGCACAGACACACATGATCTGTGTCATCCCCTCTATGTATGATGGCCCCATTAGTTAGTCAGTCAGTGATCATGGCGCCAGCGACCGTAGCGAAATGTCGGGAACACATTAAGGCTGGGTGTATAGATAAAAGAGAAGACGAGACGAAATCAACTCGCCCCTCAATGAGATAGACAGGGCCAGAGGACTTTACTACGCCAGAAAGACTTATTTCATTACCCGCAAAATATTACGATGATTTTAAAAGTGCTCTTTCTTTCTAAATAAACGAAATGCGTTTCTAATTATGCTGCGTAGTCTGCTGCTGACGAATGGACTCCGCCAATCCTTCCTAACGACTGCAAGGTTTATAGATAAAAGTTTACCTCATTTACATTTTTACATCGACCCGTACCCGGAAAGTAGACGCCATCTTGCTTTTCCTTTGTAGCTATCGGTAATCACACATTAGTGTAACGAGAGTAAGTATACCTTTGTACGCGTAGCAGACCGCTCCCGTCGGCTCTCTGGGACAAAAATGTTTGATGCGCATCTCCGACACGGCGGACGAGTTCTTCACCTCCAGCGTCAAACACGAATACTCCACGTTCTCGTATATACTCATCTGTGTTCCGATATGTAATGTTTTAGTTTCTTGTCTTATAACGAAACATATTTAACCCCTACTAATTTTATGTAGTTAGAGATCTATCTAGAAAGGACACTGCCAACAAAAACCGTAAATAGAGTATTGCTATTAACTATCGATAGCTATATAACTTTGATGTCTGCTCTAAAAACCTATAAAAATTTTAAAGTGTTCGATACAAGTAGGAATCGATACCGCATGACCGATACGATATCGAGTAAAAGTATCGATACCTTCTTGGTGGGACCGTTCCATCCCTAATAACGGGTCATAACCCACCACGCCGGCCCAGTCTTTATTTGACGTTAATGACTGCAAATGAAACCGGCACAAGCATGGAGAAGTTTTTAAACTTTTGGTGACCCGTCATCGACCTCCCCGAAAAAGTACAATCTCAATCTAAAAATTATAGTATTCGTCTTAACTTTAAAAAAAAAAATTACATTATACGTGATGAACTGGTACTGCATGTTGTCTGTGACCAGATTGATCTTTTCCCTGTATATGAGGTTGATCTGCTCCTCCTTGTCGCACGCACCGAAGCGCACCACGTGGCTGGACGCGTCGCCTTCGCCGCCGCCGCCGCCGCCGCCTTTGTATATTTAACCGGCTGCATTATTTTATTGTCGAGAGATCTAACTGATTTTCAATCGATCGACTATCGAGGACGGAGCTTTTTCCTGTGGCACCATTTTAAGCTGTCTTTTTATTGGCCACATAGGCACAATGATAACATACCATAAAAATACATTAATTTAAGAGTGGTGGCCATTCGAAACTCTGCCTAAGGAAGGATAAGACATAAAAGTGCAAATTCTCCTGTTACGGCGCTGGTTATTCTGTCAGAATCTGTTCTGTGGTTAACAATATTATTTCTTATATATTACATATATTTAAATACCTTTTTTATTATTTTAAGTATACGAATAAAAATCTAAATTGCGTTGAAGAAAACAAAGTAATGCACCATACGAACCGAGATCTCGTTCCGATTGCTAAATATGCATAGAACGTAATATGTAGTAAAGCGAACACTTACTTCTCAGAACGTACTTCTGCTTGCTTATCCTCGATATGGTGAGTTGTCTAAACTTATGCAGACTGGCCTCCACCCAGGGGTAGTAGCTCATCATGTCCAAGTAGCGCGACGGCGCGCCGCAACCGGGACCCCTAACGCCCACACCCAACTGTACCCACCAGATGGCGGAACAAAAAAAAATAAACCTCCTCCTAGCTGGTTAACTATTATATCTGTTTTCAACAAATAATGTGAGAACAACCAACCACCATATTCTCTATCTCCCTTTTAATATATAGGCGTACTTTCTTGTCAATAGTTACGCCTATGATGTAACACCTGTAGGTGAAAGAATTTTTTAATCAGTCTAGTAGTTTGGGACTCTATTCAATGCAAACAAACAATAAAATTTTTCCTCTTTATAATATTACCTAGTATAGATTACTTGTTCTACATAGAGTACCTAACTATAAATTGGTGAAAGAATTTTAAAAATCTATCCGGTAGTTTTTGTTTTATAAAATGGTAAGTTTCTTTCGCTTGTTCTTCTTGTCAGCTAAAAGACGTCCTAAACAAGTGGTAGAGGAATAAAAATTTTTTGGACGGTTCAAAAGTGCTTGTAATAGCATACTTGAATAAAGATATTTTCATTTCATTTCATTTCTTTATCCATCACAAACAAACAACCAAAAATGTGATGTTATTGCGTTGCGTTTTTTAATATTCAATATTTGATCAATTTACCATTCACACCATACTGGAAAACATTCTTAAGGAAAAATCCCATTTCAGAGTACCTCGGTCAAGTGGATATTTTATGTAATATTGTAGCAATATTATTAGACGTTTATTCGAGTTCACGTCAACGGACTTCCTGGTTTCACGCGGGTATAAGCGGATACATTATGAAATATTTTGTGTTGTGATATTAAAATGGAATGCATAAAGTAAGTATGGAGCCAAACACAATTTTCAAAACCCTTCATACGCTTGATAATTAGACAAATGTTTGTGTACCGGGCCATTTTTTTTTTATTAGACAACATTACATACATTGCTCAAATTCGAAGATGAGTAGCTAAAGCTCCCGTATTATGGTGTATCTGAGAGAACGAAGGTACCACAACAATGACAGGTACAATGAAACCTTCTCTGTTTGTAATAGAAAAAGATCTGACCGTCCACGTAGTGTTCGTATGAAGAAGGCGATCAAAGCAGTGAGGAAAAGAATTCGTAGAAATCCTGATTTGAAGATTTTTTATATCGGGAGATGAAGATGATTTAGGACTTGCAGCCTATAAGAGATGCACAGCACTTTTTGATAGATAATTTAAAAAGAGGTGATAAAATCAAAACAACCAGGCTCGTCTTAAGCACAACAGGCACCCGAGTGCAAGCAGTGCTCTGGCGCCCAATTACAGGGAATTTCCCGATGATCATCGATGTGGAGCCCCTAACGAACGGCGCCCGGGTGTGTTGCACCCCCGCACCATGAGTAAAGACGGGCCTGGTTGAAACAAAATATTCGAAAAAGAACCCGCCCATAGGGCGCTCGCGTCTGATAACTGGCGCCACCGCGCTGGCTGGCCGTTTCCGTCATATCATTGTTGTACCATGATGGTCCAAGACGATGTTCTTAGCTGTCTAAGGGGGCGTCGCGGCTCACACGGGCGTGTGCATAATATACCCTGCACTATAGGTTAAGTCGCCCCTGAAAACAACTACTTAAGCGGTACGCAAAGGGAAGTTATAGAAGAATTTTGTTTACGGATGATAATTTTTTTACAATTGAACAATGTTTTTTATTAAACAAAATGATCGTATTTATGCTCAACCTTTGTGATGCTCAAAGCTCTACAGAGCCTTCACGATTAGTCAACAGAGTACAACATGGGTATTATCCGATTTCAATGATGGTTTGGCAATGAACGAGTGACAGAGCCATATTTTTGTGAAAAAGGCATCAAAGCAACGGCGTAAGTGTATCAAGATACCATTCTGAAGAAGTTAATTAAGCCTTTTAACAACATCATGTTCAATAATCAAGAACGTTCCTTTCAGCAAGACTCGGCGCCAGGTCACGAAACTCGATTACAGGTCTTAATCCGCTGAATTATGATTTTAGAAAGAAAGAAAGAAAAATCATTTATTAAACACACACACACATGCAATTTTGCAAAAGACATTAATAAATTATTATTAACTCATAGAGTGCATCCGGTGTGGTGTCTAAAAGGTGCCAACTCGACATGTGCTGCAGTTAACTGCAGCGTCGCTTTTCAATTGGCCCCCTTAGGTGGTATTTTAGAGAGTAAGGCTTGCTCTAAACGACATGATATTCTGGAGTCCCAATCACAATCCATACGATTGGCAGTTAAGAATTTTCCCATGGTAAGAGTGCGTGCGTCTATCGATAACTGACCTCGACCTGCCTCCACATTTAAAGGACTGTATTGCAGCCAACAGAGACCACTTCGAATAAGCTATACCTATATATTTGAATGACTTTATATGAACTAAGTTCGACTTGCATGTGCTTTGGAGATTCTCTGTAAGCCGGCATGTTAATGAATAAATAAATAATACAAGCACTGACCAGCTGCCACCGGCCCCACACGTCGCGCGCGGCCAGCGCCGCGCCCCCCTCCCACACGCACGCGCGCGCCCCGCCCCCGCCCCCTCCGCCCCCTCCACCCCCTCCACCCCCTCCAGCGACACCGCGCACGCCACGTGAGGCGGACGCATCCGCCGCGCGTACAACTACTCACGCACAGTTATGCGTGCGCACAGAACAAGACATACACTGGATGAGAAGATGCAACCTATCATAAATTATATTATAACAGAGGCCCGGATCTAATGGGGCGAGTAGGGAATTTGCCTCGGGACCGGTGTTAGGGGTCAAAAATCTCTTCGAACGCATTGTGGTCCCGAAAAAATAAAACATGGACATTGAAGCTACAGCGACGAAAATTTTTTTGAACGTTGATACAGTGATAACATATAAGGCAAAAAAATATTATTACCCTGACACATATACTTTTCGGTAAAAAAAATATTTCGTTTTTTTTTGTATGGGAGAAATTACATTTTATTGATTTTCTCAAAAAATTTAAGCGATGTCAAGATGGCAATCACATATGTGACAAAACTAATTATTCTGAGTATTTCATTCGAAGAAACTTACTGCCTATCGCTGCGTACTTTGGAGATAATAAGCATCAAAATTCATGTATTTTGTAAATTCAAATTATAGTTTTGTACGAGTTAAATATATGAAAATGAGTTTTAAAATGGACTGTTTAGTAATAATAACGCAGGTTACACACCACTGTTAAGTATATATTCAAAAACATCTTGTTTTTACATTCAAAATGCTACATTTTTATGGATTATAGGTCCGCTGGCCAGAAATATGAAGCTTCGACGCGAGTTTGCCGGAATAACAATATGGCCGCCTTTCATGACGTATCATGACACGCTCTCGCACACGTCAGTATACAGCTAAATGTGATTGCGATTAGACGTGTTTCGTTTTCTGTACGCTTGGATAAATACCTCAGTTGTTAAATTGTTTGTTATATTATTGTTACTTGTTTTTGTTATTTTTTTAGAGTCTTTGGATTATTATAATTTAAAATTTTATGTTTGTTTAGCTCTCGTTGATTTTATTTTCGTTATTTTTTATTTTTGGTTTAAAATACCTTTGTTTTTGATAGGTACCTTTGTCTTTGATAGGTTTTTAACGTAGGTTTTGAAGTTTTTTTTTAATTGTTTTTTGTATTATCGTTTTCCACTCCTTGGATTTTACAATTCAATCATTTTTTGTTCATATCGACAAGAGATAGCTCTATTTTGCTTTTGTTGTTTTTTTTTTTGTTTTTGGGACAAAATCACCTTGTCTTTGACTTGTCTTGTCTTTAAATATCCTTTTTGTAAAACAAATAGGTTGAATAGAGTTTCCTTAAAAATTATAGAACATGTCCGCATTTGTCACCAACTTAGATTTATACGTTGCTCTTAAATCTGGAGGTGGTTCAAAAAATATTGATTTTCTTTTTAAAACTCTTACCGAACGCATTGGTGTTGAATTATCTTCCGAAGATTTAAGTATTATTAAATTATATTGTCGTAATTTTTCAAGTAATGTCTCAAAAAGATGGTCTGCTTCTAGCCGAACCCAAAAAACGTTTTTGAACAAAAATTCACACTGGTTAGAGTCTGAAATCGTTTGGCCAAAATGTAAGAATATTGATTTAAACAACATTTTCAGAGTTACCGAGGAAGAAGTTCCAATCATTGATACGCTAGTAGATAATCAAGCAAGTTGTAGTACTAGTAAAAAACCTTTTTTGGATTTATCTGATAAGCAAAAGAAAAGGCGTTCTCTCACACTTCTAGATTACACTGAGGAGGAACTTCTTTATGCTTTATGTTTTAAATTAAAAGAATCCAACAAAGCAATATTAGCATCTATAATAAAAGAACTTAGTCAAAATGAAGAAAAATGTGAAATCGTAAGTGACGTTTTATTCACTGTAAAAACTGTGAAAACTGTGAAACCGTGTTTACCTGATAATAAGGCGTTGGCGCTTGTCACGTCATTAAATCTGTCAAAATGGCAATATCTTAATTTGAGATCTATTCTTGCTTCAGATAATATTTTTGGTCTTCCGTCCTATCACAAGCTTCTGGACGCTAAAAAAAGATGTTATCCTCCCGAGACAGACATTATTGTAACTGAATCTGAAGGTAGGATAAGACTTCAATCTCTTCTAGATTTAACTACTAATAGGATATTAAAAACAATTCAGCACAACTCTGCAGACAAAAAATCCTTAAAACTGATAAGCAAATGGGGTTTTGAAGGGTCTTCTTCTCAAAGTAACTATAAACAAAAGTCAAAGTACGATATAAAAATTGACGATTCCTCAGTATTTATGATTAGTTTGGTTCCGCTTCGTTTAGAAGAAGGTACTATCTTATGGAAAAATCCTACCCCCTCATCAACAAACTACTGTCGTCCAATTGGTTTTATATTTGCCAAAGAATCAAATGATTTGATTAAGAAGGAGAGTGCTTCCATGGAGGAAGAAATACATAATCTTGTTCCTACAGTTGTAGACAATTTTGAGGTAAGTCATGTTTTGTACATGACTATGATTGATGGGAAAATTTCCACTGTGATTTCCAACACTTCTTCTGCAGCTGTTTGTAATATTTGTAATACTCCACCTAGTAAAATGAATGACTTGGACTATGTATCCAAAAGACCCATCAGAGATGATATGTATAAATATGGTTTGTCTTCGCTCCATATGTGGATAAGATGCATGGAATGTATTTTACACATTTCCTACAATTTAGATTTTAAAAAGTGGTCGGCACGAAATGACGATAAATTGTTAAAAGAAATAAAAAAACTATAACCCAAGAAGAATTCAGGGAAAGAACTGGTTTATTGATTGACATAGTGAAACAGGGATTTGGCACAACCAATGACGGTAACACCGCACGAAGGTTTTTTGAAAATTTTGAAATATCTGCCGAAATAACGGGTATTCACCCTGATTTAATTAAAAGATTTGCCGTTATCTTACAAGTCATTTCATCTGGGCAATTGATTGACACAGGCCTTTTGAGAGAATATTGTAAAGAAACAGCAGTGCTCTATGTAAACTTATATTCATGGTATTATATGCCCTCAAGTATACATAAATTGCTGATACACGGTGCTGACATTTGTGAATCTTTCTCCTTTATTCCGATAGGCATGCTTTCAGAAGAAGCCTCCGAAGCAAGGAATAAGGATTTCCGGAACGTTAGAATGGCACATACAAGAAAAATCGGTAGAGCTGAGACTAATTTGGACATAATTCACAATTTTCTAATTAGCTCAGATCCTTATATCACACATATGAAGCCAAAGTTTGATCGTTTACATAAAAAACTTTTTCCAGAGGCTAGTGCGTTGATCTTGAATAATGAATTACTTTCAGTGGAAAACGAGGAAAAAGAAAACAGTGATCCAAACATTAATCTTTTAACCTAAAATTTTTTATGTGTCTTTTGAAGTGAATATGAATAATTTGAATTTTTTATCTTCCTCTTAATAGTGTTTTCCATAACTAATGGTACTTCTCGTTCTGAAAGGTCGTATATAAAAGGATGTTTAACTGCTTCTACCCGATCCTCCTGCCTGCCTGCCTGTCTGAGGTTTATGTGACAGTGAGACCCACCGCTTCAGAACATTTTTTTTTATGTATTTGACAAAAGAATATAATTGGCGTACATTATAAGTGCTAAAGTTATTTTAAGATTCGAAAAACGGCACATATAAAATAAAAAAAAAATGTTTCTTCTACCTCGAAAATCTCGGAAGTACGCAGCGATAGGCAGTAAGTTTCTTCGAATGAAATACTCAGAATAATTAGTTTTGTCACATATGTGATTGCCATCTTGACATCGCTTAAATTTTTTGAGAAAATCAATAAAATGTAATTTCTCCCATACAAAAAAAAAACGAAATATTTTTTTTACCGAAAAGTATATGTGTCAGGGTAATAATATTTTTTTGCCTTATATGTTATCACTGTATCAACGTTCAAAAAAATTTTCGTCGCTGTAGCTTCAATGTCCATGTTTTATATTTTCGGGACCAACTGCAAAAATAAAATATAAAATCTGGCTTCCCGGAGCGTAGGGAGTAGGGTAAGGGAAGAGCGCCATACGAAAGTTTCTGCCCCGGTTAGAAAAAATCGTAGATCCGGGCCTTGTAACAAAATATTTAGCGACTCACGTTCGCTGAGACATAGAAGTCTTTGCACATCTCGCCGGGGACGTGCGAGACGGGTATCACTTGTTTTTTCAAGTCGTTGAAATCTAGAAACGATAGAATATATGAAATGACGGTCGAGTCAAAACATTGAAGATCCCGAAAATACTCACCCTCGTGAAACTTAATGACGTAAAACTCCGGATCCTTTAGCAGATCTGGTGGAGGGCAGACGGGCTTAATTTTCGCTGAAACAAAACGAGTTGCCATATCAATGATAGGAGATTAGATTTTTTCATCGCCGACGTGCATTTAAGAATCGATTTTTGAACCCAATTATATTCACTTACTCTAAGGACATCTTTATGCAGGAAGAGTGTAAAATTATCAGTAATGCATCTTTATTTATTCAAGGCAGAAGTATATGTCCAGTAATTTCGCACAACCACTCAGATTAATTAATATATATAGTCCCTAATCATATCTTTGAATATATGACCGTTGCTATACGTACGTATATGATAAGCGAGTTATATACTAACTAGATCTAACAATATTCTTGAGTTGTACGAGTGCAACAGTATTGAGTGTTTCTCCGTACTCTGGATGAATTACGTAGTTGCGTACGCGCAGCTCTTCACCCCTCCAGCCATCCCCTAATATCACACGCGTATTTTTACTGAGGACAAATTTGAACTTATTAGTGGAAATTTATGTCAAATTAAGGCAGTCAATTCATATAACTTAACCAACAACGACATTGTTCGTAATATAACATTTATTTATGTAGAACACACTTATAAATTGTTTCGTAACGTTGCTATGTTAGTTGGCGCCTATCATGGTACCATGATGGGCGCCAGCCAATGTTACCAGTTAAGTTTTTGGAATATATAATAAATAATTTTGCGTCATTCAGATTTTGTTTCGATACTGTTATAATAAAGGTACATTTTTATCTGCATCTTTTTACACCTTCAAAATTCTTCTTTATATCCAAACCTAAAATGAAGTTTTTTTTTAATAGCATATGCGTATAGTTTTCCTATCAAAGTACCTACCGGAGCAGGTCGAGAACGCAATAGTTTAGCGAATAGATAATAAAAGAAAGACTATTATCCCAAAACCCAAAAGTCCAATTACAAAAATATTGAACTTAAAAGTGTACTTACCGGAAGTCATGCTTTGGCATGGGCCCGATATCGGCCGCGGGTCCTATCACGAACTCCTGTTGTATTAGGACAACGGTAGTCACCGCTCTCACTTCACCTGTTAAGTCATCTGTGGCAAAATAAAAAGAAATTGATAATGAACTTCATTAAAAAACAAACTACAACTTACTCACTTTACAGTGAATTTTGCCATTTCATGGCATATATTTAAAATGACGTTCTTTCGTCAACTTTTCGAAAATCTTAAGTCAATCCAAGCTTTGATCAGTTTCTTACACACCAACATTTTTTTAAATATATGGAATCAACTTTAGTTTAATATCTTTAAATATGTAAGAAATTTTGTTTCTACTAACAGGATCTGTTACGTGCCATTTAGGCGCTTACAGTAATAATAAATGAAAGCGTATAATTGGCATACTAGATTGTCTATTTTGTATACCTACATAAATATATCGTTATGAATCTAACCTATTGCAATTTATAAAATAATGTAATAGAGTTCAAAAGTTTGTACTTACGACCAATATAGTAAAGTATTCCAACCCAAGGATAAGTGTTCAATGGAACGTCGCTGCCAACCACCACTTCCGGGGAATTGTCTATGCCGCACTCCATCCTCTCGAGCGTGGCTCCATTGGTGTCTGGTTCCGGGGTACGAGATACATAGATAAAGGCATAGATGTATTATGTTAAGGGCATAGATATAAACACTCGAGATGTATTATACAACGTGCTGCTTTTAGAAAGCAGTAATTTTCCCCATAATGTTGCGATCAATAAAAAAATACTCCATAATCAATGGAGCAGTGTCAACAAAACAATTTTTACAGTGCTTTTGGTTTAATTAAGTGTACTGGTTATGAAAATAACACTCTTTTTAACACTAAGTAGGTGCTCACTAAGACGGGATTTTACGAAATTCGGCCCCTAAGGGGGTAAATTAGGGGATGAAAGTTTTTATGGAATTTTCTCATTTCTGGACTTAAAACTAAACCACTCGGGTGATGTCGCGTGTAAAAGCTATTACGAATAAAACTCTTTCTTACATAAGTATAGCATATTACATAAATACATTTCCTAGCAAATAATTACGTTATCGCTATCTATCCATAGTGTTTATGATCCAAGGTTCCAGGCTACCTTTCTTACCCGATTACTGTCAACGGGCCACCTAGCCAAGCTAGCGAATACACTTTTCAACACATATTAAGAGTATAAATTAATTACATACATCTTTACAACTATCTGTAAATCTATTAAACATTTGGATTTTAATGGACTAATATTCCTTTTTCTGGTGTAGGTAAGTTTTGTGGCATTCTGTTTGCCAAAATATATTTATTCAAATAAGCTCATAAAAGTATAAAAAGATACAGTAGTATTCCAAAAAACTTACCTTTTTTCAAAAAAACAATAATTAACACTATTACAAAACTCAACTTTTTTATAACGAAACACATTTTTTTCGTAGTTTAAAACTATTAACACACAAAAATCGTTTATGTAGCTCTCACTGATTTTACTTGAACAATGATTACGATATGTAAGTATTTGTTGATGTAAACATATCAATTGTCAACAACATTGGTATCATGTGATTGTGTAAATAATTTTGCGAATGTTTAGTTTTACACTGTTAAAGGATGTAAATCATTCGCCGAGATCATCAAAACATTTTTAATTTTAAAGACCATTAAAGACACACGCAGATCAGAGGTCGTATTACTACCCTGAATTAACCATTAATGCACCTTTTCACGGGTGCTATAACTTGTCATGGCAACTTTAACAGGCTCCTTTTTAATCTAGATTTCACTAACAGCCCCCTGTGCAGAGGGCACAACAAATAGCCACTCACGTTTCGCTGAAACATAACGGAGGGTCCAACTACCAGGCAAGATACCTCAGTTCGCCGGGTAACCTCCAGGACGCATATGACGGACGTTGAAGGCGCTAGGAGCGATTCTAGCGGAGCTGGATTGGCTGGAATAACTTTAAGCACATCATCTACACGCAAAACAGGTGCAATTTTGCTGTCGAGTTGCGAAGACGCCCGTAAGAATAATAAGAAGCTGAGGTGCCGTGTTCAACTTCTAGCCGAGCTGTGTGCTGTGGCACAGGCCTGCCCAATGGACGGAATTGAAATAGGCAATATGCACCATAACCAACCACGCGGGGCCAGTGCGGATTGGTGTGTTAACGACTACAGATTCAGTCAACACCCACTGAACATGCCTTTCGAAGCACGGGGAACACAATTTAATTAATTTCTGATCACCCATTCCATGACCGGCTATAACAACAGTTGCTTAACCTCCACATCGCAACCTTAATGCGCTAACCACTGCACAATTGAATCCAACAAAAAAAACTATTGAAAAAGACATAATTTTCATAATAAAATATTATTTATTTAAAACCTATACCTTTCATTTGGAGGCAACACCATCACAATAATATGCTTTGAGTTTAACACTTTAGCTTTATCAAACTTACACTAACACCTATTTGAAATTATATTTTACACTGCGAGTCACTGTTTATCATATTTAATTAAGCATTTCGCATCCCCGTTGTTTTCCTATAAGCACTAAAATGTTCAAGATACTGATATATAGTGTCTATTGGATTGTAAATCTCATTCATTCGGCTGAGAAGATGCTGTGGTGGTTGAACAGGGATTGTAGGCCCCAGTAGACCTTGAAGGAACTCACGAAGCAGACCCCAGACAGCATTCGCCATAACACATGGCCTGTATTCCACCTAATAGAAACATTAAACACTTGAAACTTAACTAGCTCTCATAGATGGATTTAGAACTCTCAATTTTATTATCAAAGACACTATTGTGATATACAGTCAATAGCATGTCAGATTAAAGTATGTGTAAACACACAAATAATCGATTATAAAAATCTCAATTTAATTTAATAGTTTTTTTTTTGCTTTTTATTTATTTTTTAATTATTATAGAAAAGCATAAAAGACTTCAAAAGTCCGCCATCTTGGATTTAAGAGTGATATCACATTACTATTATAGGCAGGCCCCGTGCATAAATAATGACTATTCCCCTATCTTGGATATTCTGCTATATTGCATTTAGAATAATGTCACATTCTTTTCAAGTTACTCTCAACAAAACCTTTAATTTGATACCCATATTGTAGAAATGGATTAAAAATAACTATTCCGCCATCTTGTATGATCCGCCATAATTGATTTAGAATGACGTCACATTATTTTTCTAGTTACTCTCAACAAGCCCTTTCATATTGTAGAAATGTATAAAATATAGCTATTCCGCCATCTTGGATGGTCTGCTGTATTGGATTTAGAATGACGTCACTTTATCATGCATTGTCATCCAAACTAAACTTGGATACAAAATTTCAGCTCAATCAGTTGAAGATATCAACTTCAAAATTGATTTCAAAGATTCCACCCAAACAGCAAGATACATAAATACATTGCAAGTTAAATAAAAGCTTTTGGAATCTACTTATCTACTAAATTACATGTTAACAAGCCATTATTTTTTTATTTTTTTCATATTTTCACTTCATTTTATATCTTAATGCTCCTGGGGGTAGGATATATGTGTTTAAGCACAATTAAATACAAATTGAATTTGAAAATATTTTTAACTAATTTCATCTGCAATTCTTTCATTTCATTTTAATTCTTTCACAGCTAGTTGCACAAACGTCCATTAAAAATTACATTCATTTAAAATGACATTACCCATACAAATTTGACATGCATTAGAACTTGGTCATCATTAAACCTTAATGGGATTTTTGTGCAACTTACCGTTAGTCTTTCAGGCTAACAAACACCTGAATAATTGTCACAAAAATACTAAAATTTCACAGTAATAGGAGATAAATAGAAACAAAAAATCCTAAAGCTTTTATAAAATAAAAATGTTTACATTCAAAATAAATAATACTTGTGATATAAATAAGTATAACTGCAGTTATACTTCTTGGTTACTGACCTCAATGAGTATTCCTTTGAAGTTCTGATTCATTGTCACCGAGCCCAGCTTTACACAGAAATCTCCCAGTTCAAACCTGGGCCCTTTGCTCTCTATCTTTGTCTGCTTCTTTGAAGTATAGTGTTGCGAGAGTTTCATCATAAGTAAATCAAATAACCCATCCGCAATCACATGGATATTCTTTGTACCACTTTCTAAGATTGAGAAGACTGATGCAGGTTGTTCAGAGTTGTGTAGAATATGCACTGTTTTAGTTGTACCTGTGTAAATTAAATAACTGGTCTAAAAACATGTTACAGAGGAACAATAGTAAAAAAATCTCAAATCTGTTTAAGATATTTCTGTGAAACATACCCATTTGCGGATGTGATAAATAACTCTCACAATCGACAAGAAACTGCCCTTGTTGTGATGCGCCGAGTGCTAATATCCGCTTTGTTAGTAATTCTATGACATAAGTTCCAGTTTTATTTTCCGGCACGGGATACGGCTGCAAACTAATAAATTAAACTGAACTATTTATTGATCTTTTTCAATAAGTTACAAATATACCAGTACATAATATACTTACACTGTAACACCCATTATTTAATAGGAAATTAAATACGTTATAATATAATACGTTAATTTAATATATTATTTATTTTTTTGGATAAAATTGTCTTCGTAGAGGTTATAAATTAGTTGATGGATTATTCTTAAAACACAGTTTTGGTATGGACTTAAAACATAAACTTGAAATATCTTGTTTTATTTATTTTGTTTAAATATAAAAACAATCACAGTTACTATGTATAATACGATCACAGACCAGTATAATATTGTAATCTTTGATCACAGATAAAGAATTAGTTATACTCTTAAAACACGTACTAAAACAAAATAAAACGCCATCTAGGACTGAGATACAGAACAATTAACAATAATAGTAGTAGTTTCGTCCATGGAACAGGCGAAGGAACTAAGCCATACAGCCAAATGTTGAGTCAACAATGAACAATATCCAACAGTTTGTGCTGCCATTTAGTGAAATAAATTTTTGTGGTTTCTTTATTTTTTGAAATACTGCCTCTTTATGGAATTTGAGGTATAACGAAGGGATAAAATTAATAATATATGTGTGTTCTGATTTTAAACGTTACATATATTACAATATTTGTAATATTTATGCAAAAAAAAAATCTCAACGGTGAATTTTATAAATCCATTTCATTTTTTATTAGGGTTACTTACGAAGATTATAGATCGAGATCGATAAATGTAGTGAATGAATTAATATCACCATTGAATGCCACCCTTTATTTGAAACAAGTAAGTCTTCAAATCAATACAAGTAATAGTCACATTATATCGATACATTTAAAAATGTCGATACGATATATATCGAATTTTTTTTTTCCATTTGCCCATCCCTAAGTGTGGGTGCACATGCCCATATAATACACATGCCTCGACACCCCGACTTAGTTCAACTGGTTGGAGCTCCGACCACCTACCGTATGGATGGCATTTAATAAACAAGAAACAGCCAAAAAAATACTGTCAGTTAAAGACAAAAGGCGATAGATCTTCAAAAATATAAGAAAAATATTGTAGTTATATTTATGCATAATTTTTAGCTCAGATGATCTACTAGTTTTTAGTGTTGACGTGTTCATAGAGTTAAAAATTAATATAATATTTTACACGGAATGCTTCTGTAAAATTTTTATCAAAAAGTGACAATCACCGACTTGTTATTAAAATAAACTGTAGGTTGTATGGGTTATGACTTCCTTTAACTATTTAAAAAAAAATGTTACGGTGACTTTTTTATTTTACAGGTTAAGGAGATTTTATTCATTTATTCTTCTCTTATTAAGGTCGCTTAAATTATTTGAAAATATTTTTTTTATAATTAATATTAAAAAAATATATGTCATAAACTAATTGCTTTCAATATGTACAGACAGGTAGATAATAATTTAATAAATCTATGATTACAAGTTCTACGATGACGTCTGTCCGTCACGCACCTATGCTGGACCAATGAAATATCGACAAATATTTCAATGAGAAATTGACAAGTGCGGGTGCGGGGGTCTCAATTTTATGAAGTATTTATTTACCATCACAACCGATTAAACTTTGGTCATTGATATTTTGTAGAAGAAACTAGATAAACGTTAACACCAGATAAGTTATTGCGTCAGCTAGTTTTTGTACATTATATGTTTTAATGGAATATTTTATGTTCGGATAAAGTGTGCTGTGAATCTTGCTGATTATCTAATATATACTCAACAAGCAACAATTGGATGATTGAAAATGATACCAGATAACGTAACGCTGATTGTAAAGGCACCAAATCAACAAATTGAAGATCAGAATATAGAATGCCAATCGTCATGGACAGTGCTACAGCTGAAAGGACATCTATCAGAAGTGTATCCTAGCAAACCGGTAAGATTTTACATAATGCAAATATTTTGTTCAATGTTTTTCATTACCATTATCTTATCTCTAATCAGATTTTTGAAATGATTGTCTTATTAGAAACACCTCAAATATATCTTATAGTTGTGTTATTTAATTTTTGTAAACAACTATAGCAGAGTGAATCACATTCACCAAACTGTGGTGGATTATGGCCTGATCTCCCAGTTTGATTCCATCCATAGGAAATATACATATTCTTGTGCCCTAGCAGTGGTTACATTCAGAGGCTGACCACGATGATAATTAATGATGGAAATTGATTTGTTATATTTAGGATTACTACTTGTTGGGCATTTTATATTAATGTTGAATCAAATTGCTTACTTTTTATTTTCATAATTAGTATGTGAAATAAAAACTTAATAATTTAAGGTGTCAGTCTTGCCAAATATTTTTTAAGATTTTTGTACATGAATATATGGGTATGTTGTTAGTTAATGTTTATTTCCATAACTACTAAATAAGAACCTATTTTTAAATCACTAAGAAACTTTATCAATACAATTCTAGTTATGCCATAGTGGTTATTTGCTACTTCACCGATAAGATTTTAACGAGCAGTACCAATCAAAATATTATGCATGTTTTAAATTAATTGTAAGTTAACTGTGCTAGGTGCTAGTAATTATTTTTTATTTTAGTTTTTCTTTTTTTATTATACACTCAACTTACTTTTAGTAAAATGTATCCACACAGACCAAGCAGTCTCGTGAAATTGTCTTGAGCTTAAAGATTAGCCATCTGAGGTAGTGTAATTTTCATGAGTCTCCTTATTTCTTCTGTGTAGGGCTGTGTGGACACACACAGAAGTAGATCTACTGTAATTAATAGAGCTAAACAAATACACTTTTTCTACAAAGATTTTAGAGATAATGCTGTTCAACCCAATAATACATAGGTCATTAGCAACAAACAGCAATTTGATGGCTTGTTTACGAAGTGGGAGCTGCTGCCTAGCCAGTAGAGAGCTAATCGGATTGTCAACTCATATACCAGTAACTCAACTCTACTTAGCTGCTCTCAAGACACATCAACATTGTGACAAGTCTCATGATTGAAGTGTAGTTACTAAACCCTAATCATGCGAGATATCAAGATATTTATATATATATGGCACTGGTGAGCTAATGCCTAACTCATTCAAGATTGCTGTCAGATTGAGCAGCAAGAGAGTGAAAGTAGAATGCGAGCTACTGTCCCTATATGAGTTATTCGTAACATTCAAACAGTGCAAGTCACTATAGTGCAGCTCTGCATTCTGACTGGAATACTAGCTCCAACTCCAACATACCTATACGAGCCATTACTAGAGATTATCGTCTATGAAGTATTAAAAAAAATGATTTTTTATTTTCAGAGAACAGAAGAACAGAAGATTATTTATTCTGGACAACTGTTAGATGATAACACAATACTTAAAGACGTACTCCGCACATACGAAAGTCAAATAGCTCATACTATGCACCTGGTGTGCACACCAAATAGAAAGATGCCACTACCGCAGAATCCTCAGAACCCCATTGAAGCACCAAACACTGATGGATTAAGGCAAAGGAATATTACAACAACTGACAGTGCTACTAACACAACAGCCCCAACAGAGCCAAGGCCTGAAATGAGACAAAATGATCAAAACCATAATGTTGAAATGCAGAACTATTTGAGTTCATTTGTAAACAACTATGGCAGAGTGCCACCATACCCTAATTATAATTTGGGAGAAGGATATTTGCCTGTGCCAAACGACCCAGCACTACTAGCCAACCATATGATGGTGATGCAGCAGGCGTATGTGCGGTATATGCAGCAGTATGCCAATATGTAAGTTTACAGTTTTTTTATATTCTTAATAAATATCTATAGGGGCCGTCCATTAATCACGTGAGGCTCGAAAGGGGGGGTGAGGGAGTTCGTCAAAAATCACGAAATATCACAAGGGTGCAGTGTATTTATATTTTCCTCAATCGCGCGATTACTATACCGAAAAGCGGCGTCAAACATTAATTACACGTGATTTGGGTGGAGGGGGGTGGGGTTAGTCTTATACCTCACCATGTATCAAGGGGGTGGGGGGTTAAAAATGCTGAAAAAAACATCACGTGATTAATGGACGGCCTCGTATCAAATGGAAAACACATGAAATGTCAAATTTCTCAAGAAATACTCATTTTAGTTGGTTGATTAGTTAGGACTTGTAATTGTATACGCTATTACGCATATCGAAATGAATAAGTCAACGTTATTTCACTTAAATTCAGGTTTTCGCATTATTGAATACAGGATTAAATACAGAAAAAAAACTAACACCTATGTATAATATCGTTACTAGTGTTGTGAACTAAAAGTTTTGGCGCCCATTTCTCGTCAGCCAAAAGATATCTTGTAGAGCTACAATACAAGAACCTATTTTAACGCGGTTTTCAGAAAAGTATTTTTAGTGTTACCTATTATATAAAACATATTGATATCACTAAAAAGTATGAAATTAAATCTTAATAAAAATAGAACCGACTTTAAACTTAAAAAAAGTGAACGATAATATTATATCTAAAGCGCCTTATACAAAGAAAATGCTATTAGAGGTCGGGCGCCTATTATTTAATTAATAACCTGCAGAAAACCTCCCCCGATGTTAATAGCATTTTCTTGAATAAGGTGCTTTTGAGATAAGTATTTATATTTCGGCTATACCTAATTATTTGGTTATCTTGACAGTGCCCAACCATAGATACATTAGTGAGGGTCTGTACTGTACGTTCGATTTTAGACCTTTAGATATCAGTAAAAAAAAAACGTAGACATAACAATAACTTTTCTAAAAAAATTAGCACTACAATAAACATTTAGGTACTTGAGAATCTCATCCATTTTTTAAAAGCGATAAATAATAAATTATTAATTGCAGATGTTGACGAAAACATAAATAAACAAAACAATCAGTACCTACACAGTTTATCATAAGACAATATCGTTATCAAGTATAGGATTAATATCACCTCTCATATTAACTATATAATTACACTTTAAAACGTGACTATCGTATGCTTCTTTTTATAATATACTTACGGAAGTTAATTAATAAACTGAGTCCTATATTTTACCAGTTGATTTTTTGTTGTGCTTTAACATCGATATCAGTAGTCAACTGTGTATGGAATTCAATGACACACTTATAATTGCGATAAGAACATTTAGATTAGTTGTAATTAATGTGTCACGTAAGTTCTCCTGTTACAACAGTTATTGTTGATAAAGAAATAAGACAAGCATTATGCTCAATGACCTTAGGGTGGCGTCGGAGTGTTAGCATAAAGCTTAATAGGGATAAAACGGGTATTTCGGGAAATTAGGCATCATCGGTACACCGGAAGATATTATATTCGTCTGGAACAAAATGATTTACAGAGTCGACGCGTGTGTATGTATGGGGCATCATATCTTTGGCAGATTGACTGTTTAATGATTTGAATCGACGAGTGCATCTCAGATGCGTAGCTTACAGTCAATTATATCAGTGTTCCAAAGCAAAACTCTCTAATTACCATGAAACTATAATTAAGCTCAGGGTTTTGAACCAGTGCGTTCTTTCGTAAGCTGCCAAAAAAACGAAAGGAATGAGAGACTCGAATGGTAATTAAGAGGCAGGATGCGGGTGCCGCAGAGACGACACCAGATGGATTCTAAATATCATATATACCGAGAGGAGTAAGTGCAGCAGCAGCGGAAATATTGATTATGCACTAACTAGATGTGCCAGAGTCCGTCGATACATTTTTTCTGTACTATTAGATAGTAATAGGTTTATTTGATTCTTCTCATTCTTCATTGTTTAAAATCCGTTAAGTAGTTTTTTAGATTTCGCATTCAGATCGCAGCGGGAAAGGCTTTGTTTTTAATACATATGTTGTCATAATTTTTAAATATACATTTATATATTTCACTGTATCTATTAATGAATAACCCGTGAATCGATTATTAGTTCTCGTTGTTTCTGCACGTTTGCGCAGATGTCTCGTTTCCAAACATAGTAATTGAGGAACTATGACATCACGCGATTTGACCTAGACCTTGACTCTCTCTAAATGACAACAGTTTACACCTAAAGTTTCTGTCTTTTTTTGTTTCACATTTTTTCTAGAATCTTTGCTGATTAGATATATTGTTTATCATTGTATCAAAATGATAACGTTAAAGAAAGTAAATGACGTATTATTATTTTCTTTTCATCAGCCTGTTATTCAGTTTTTTGTGCCACATGATACATTACAAAATCAGAAATGTGTTATCGACATTGGGGTAGTCGAGTAGTTCACAAACTGATGTGTCAAGTCCCGACCTTGAAGTTAATTACAAAATTAGATTTAGTCCGATTCAGCTGTGGGCGTTAATGGCATTAGTCGATTTTAACAAACAAACTTTTTACCATTCAAGATTTAATTAATTAATGAATCGAGGATTTATTCATAAAATTATCATTCATTCATTCATTCAATTAAGAAAAAATATCTGCCTGTATAAATGTAAAACATACTACCTATTTAAAACCTTGTCGGTTTCACAGTTTCAAAATTCGAGATGTTCGAGAAAGAGAATCTTATACCTTATTTCACGGTTCGACGATACAATAACTAAAAATTTTATTCAGTTTCTATCCTAGTTATCACTATGTAACGTCACTAATTAAAACACATTAAATCGCTTCGATATGAGCAACATATTTTTAATTAAAAATATAAACAATTCCAGAGGAGGTATCGGTATAGGAAATAATATGAATCGGTATATTATAAAAAAGGGAAAAGTCGTGTCTACACTAATTAATATTATAAAAGGTTACTACAGTTCGGACTCCGTTCGGAGAGGGTAATTTACAGAAATACCGAACCGATCATGGAAATATTTCACCCGCGGAATGCGAAATTGCTCAATAACGGCCGAAAAGATCTAGAAATAATTCCATTATCTTCGTCATCAACATTCAACAGGTTGAATGTATCGATTTTTGTCCCGCGCGATCCCGTTATTATGATATTCTGGGCGCAGGTGGCGAGCGACGGCGGCAGCGCCCGGCGGCGAGGCGCCCCCCGCGGCCGCGCTGCCCGCCCCCGCCGCCGCCGCCCCCGCCCCCGCGGCCGCGCCGGTGAGGGCGGGCGCGGGGGCGGGGGCGGAGGAGGAGGCGGCGGGCGGCGCGGACTGGCTGGAGCAGGTGTACGCGGCGTCGCGGCTGGCGATCCTGTTCTCGCTGGTGTACCTGTACGGCAGCCCCGCGCGCCTGCTGCTCGTGCTGCTGCTGGCCGCCGCCGGATATCTGTCAGTATATACACCTATACACCTCCAGCTGTAGCACCTCTTGCTGGGCAACGAATATGTATTCATATTATCGAAGAAGATAACGTTTAAATGCAAACTTTAAACACATTTAAGTAACAGTCAGTGAGCGACAGAAAAGATCATTTAATTTTAGATGTACTAAAAATTAACTATGTATACGCAGACAATTGAGAACCTCCTCCTTTTGTTTTAAAGTCCGTTACCCACAATATAACAAGAGCCCTCTGTTTGACTTTGCATCTATTTTAATATAACAATTCATTTTATATTAATGCTTCTTTTGCAGACATCAAATTGGCTTCTTCCGTGATCTCCACGCAAACCATAACGAGGAGGCCCGACGAGCCATTCAACAGAACAACCAGAATGAACCGAATAACCAGAATGAACCGAACAACCAGATCCAACCGAACAACCAGAATCAAATCAACGACGTAAACCAACCGAACAACCTCCCCCCTCCATCCGCCAGCCCGCCGGCCGCCGACCAGTCGCCGCTGGCGGTCGGCTGGATGATATTCACGTCGTTCTTTGCGTCACTTATACCAGAGGCCAATTGAACTGACACAGCGGCACCGCTGTCCTGTTCTAACATAATATCGCACGCAGGCATTTTTATAGTGATCGAGAAATATTATATCATGTCAAAATTGTGTGACGTCAGAGAAATTGAAGCTGTTTAAATGTTGCCTATCATGTTTTGTCACACAGACGGACATCGTGCCATTTATAAAATAGCACTCGATACGAATATTTTAAAAGGTAACGATTTTACTGTTGCTTGTAAGTATAGCTCGATAATAACACTTCCTTTCGCTCCGCAGAACCTAGACAAACCACGGAAAAGTCACCAGTGCATTATTCATTAACTCATTAATTATTTAAGGATGTCAAATAGTTTTAAATACTTTAAACGAAGTTTTATGTGCTCGTTTTAAATGGAAACATCTTTGTTCTATAAAAGTGTTTTGTTGTGGATTTGCATTAAAAATTCGGGAATCGCTTTGTTAGATATATTAAGTTACACGTCATTAGATCTTGATTTAGACCAGTTACATTTATCGATTAACGTTTAATTGGATCTAATGTCTGATGACTTTATATTGACCTGAAATACTCCATTGAAAATAAAATTACTATAACTCTATATTTAATGAAACTTGTATTCAAAATGCTGTACTGGTGAATATTCTTAATGAAAAATACTTAAACACCCACCAACCAGCCAGCTGGTTCTACTTTAAGTATTTTTCATTCGGAATAATTTCTATTATCTTTTTATATATATATATATATACATTAACAGCGAGAAATTATGTATATACTCTCAAACCGTGTGCAAAATCATAGGAATCAAATTACCAGAGATTGGATTTAGGAAATCCTCGATACTTAGGAATTTCGTTTTTTTATAAATTATGGTGACATTATCAATATTAACTCCAGTGTAAGTTCGTTGTAATGAAACTAAATCATGCACGATTTATATATATATATATATATATGTTCATTTGTAGCCACGAGATACTCGTTAAATTATATATACAACGTCTTGTTTAAATTTTCTCCAGTGTCATATCTGTAAACGTTCAGACACATTCAGGAGTAATTGTTATTCTTCTTATATTTGTACTGACAGAAAACCAAAAATTTAATTGTATATAATATTTATTTTCTGTAGATTTAAATAGGCTAAAACATTAGTTGCTATAATGTTAAAAAAAAAAATTGCTATGTGTAATATTTTAGTGAAATAAGCTTTTTTAATATATAAAATTATCGGTAACTGTATTAATACTGTTAAGGTAGTCGTTTAATTAAAATTAAGCGAGTGAGATAATTCATTTTTGACTTCGTGCTCACATGAGGTCTACTGTACGTGGTGTTTTGATATAGACAAATTTGATTACAACTGCATAAACAATATTTATATGTTGTTCGAAATGGTGGACGCGATAAGAAAAATACTTCTTTTCTTGTTATTTTTTTTATTCATTGCTGGAAATTAAAAAAATATATATAATAATGAATGTATATAAGTAACTTATTGAGAGTTACAAATTTATTAAGTATTTTTACAGATACACAGTGTAATAGAAATAACAAAGAACATAATATTTCGATAAAACTAAATAGAAGTGAATTTTTTAATCACTTGTGAGGATGAAACTACAAAATTAGTTGTTTGAGTAAATATATAAATAATTCAAACAATTCGTATTGTGAAGTGGCGTTGTTTTAGTTAAAATAGAATATTACATCTGTTAATTAATGCAATACTTGCCAGTCTTCATTGAGAAAGCTTTTTTTAAAACCAAAAAATACTAAATATATATAATTTTGCACATCAATGAAATGTGAGCTTTATGCCGTCTTACTTGCAGTCTAATTTTCGACTTGCTCATTTGTAAGAAGTTACTTATATACAAAAGGTCGTCCGATAAAATGTCTATAGAACATTTTCATAAATAACGTCACATGTAAAATACAATGTTTGGGTTACAAACTTGTAAATGTTGCATACGTACAACACAAAGTACATGTATGTCCCAACCAATATTACTGTTTGAATTTTTCCGTTAACAATGATCAACCGTTTGTATATACCATATACACACGTACGTATGCCACCTGCTGAACATCATATTTCATTCAAATATCAATCAGCATATTTGTAAAATAAAATTATTTAACTAGTTAGATACTTATAATATTAGATGGATAGATTAAAAAAATATATATCCATTTGTAAAGGAAGTCGAAGTAGGCTTTGTTATAATAATGTGTACATTTGACCCGACGACGATGCTGAAAGGGTTTTTGAATTCCATCTCATATTGAAAGTAGACTATTCAAAATCTGCATGTGAATTATACTTCAGTCAACTTAAGGTGATAATGTTAGGTTCAATTGTATGTAGAGTCGACACACGTCAGGTAATACAATACTATCCCACTTGATTTTAAACCTTGATGCAATAACACTAGAGTTCAAAATCGACTGCGGAAATTTGACATACTTTGATAACCTGACGTGCTGCTATGTGTACCTACCATAAATAATAATGCGTGTAATTTTGATCACTAGTATTGATTCTTTAAGTTGGTCGATGTAGATTATGTATGGAAAAAGATATTCTGTCAATGTAATTAATTATGCAATTAACTTTGGGTATCTCAAATTGTATACTTTTGGGGATTAGTCACTACAATTGCGATGAAAACAAGGGACACAAAGTGTCATTGTATCTATGTTACGGTAAATGTAAATAATTTAAATTTTTAATTGTATTTCTTCAAAATAATGGACAAACAGTTTATTACTTTCAACAAATTATTATTAACAATAAAAACTGGTGAATTCTAATATTTCAAATCGCAAGGTAAAGATGAGTTATTATTTAATACTTTATCACACTAATAACGTTTACTGTAACATATATTTTTATTGGATGCATATAGTATAGGTTACATGGAAAAGCCAATTTGCTGTACAAAATAACAATGCTTAGAATCTATTGCGTATTTTTCTAATTGCAAATGTTTAAACCACATTTATTATGATGGAATCATTTCATTACTGTGATAGGATATTCGTCTGCACCCTCGTGAATAAAACTTGGAATGTGATCTTATGGTTTTATTTAAAAATTAAATCAAAAATCGTCATCAAAGTCAACATCCATATCATTATTAATATCTTTGTTAACACTTTCTTCATTACTGACTAAGGATCCTTTTCTAATTTCACTAGGTTGATCTTTAATTTCTTGTGTTACTTTCTCCTCTTCAGTTTCTTGTCTAATACAGATTCGAGAGTGAATGGTTTGATCTGTGACAGGGGATAGATTGTTATCATCTATAGAATCAACATTATCTATTTCACTTTGTACAATAACATTGAAGCCGTCAACTTTATTATTTTTATCAATTATGTCTACATTATATGAACTTTCAGCAACAGCATCTTTATTTTGTTGTACTTCGTCTGTTTTTTCATTGATAATTTCATCAGCAACTGTGTCAACGGTTTCAGATGTATCGGGCACTATATTCACATTAACCTTTACAGTTTGATCATTGTTTTTGCTGTTTTTAACAACTCCATGAACTTGAACTGTGACAGACTTGTTCATAGAAATTTCATCATCATCTGAAGAACTATCTATTGCATTTGATATGTTACGTTTCCTGAATATTACATCATCTTCAATTTCAGCAGAACATTCAGCCACTGTATCTATGTCGAGTGGTATATCTTTACTGCCATTGTTCACTACTCTATTGTTCTTCAGTTTGGCAAGTCTTCTTTCCTCTGCCAATCTTCTGTTTCTGAGCATTCTTTCTCTTTGTTCATCATTAATTGATGGTGAAGATGTAGCTTTTGGCATCAATAAAGAACTAAAATAAAAGAGATAACCACCATTAGAAACTATCATTTTATTATCTATTTACTTTATCAATACACATTGCTATGCTGAAGAACTTGTGTTGCAAAAATTAAAAACGAGAACACCACAAACAACTCAACTCATGATATTTTCTGTGCTAAACCAATTATAAGATTTTGGTTACATTCAATATGACCATATTACTCTTCTAAAAATATCATTGTTAAAATTACTGGAACACTAGAGAATGGGTCTTAACCCACTCCACTAGTCCACTGCGGATTGGTCGGTATTAATGACTACAGATTAAACTGTGCCTTCCAAAGTATGGACAAGTTCGAGCACACTAGCCACTGTGCCATCAAGCTCCTCTTCTTTTAAATTTCACACTCAAAACTCAACTAGCCATTCTCATGAGGACCTAAGAAAGTTTAGTTTAGTAATTACAAAACATATATTTTCTTTGATAGTAGTAAAACAATAAACATCTTCACTTAAAATTTTTAAAACCTAAACCTAAATCATGTCAGATAACCAATATATGTCAATAGAAAATTTAATTGAAATTATTTTTTAACTATTAAAACTAATAAATAATTAATGTTTCACAAGAAACAAGTATCAAAAAGAAAGATCAGACAAGGCTGGCTTTCTATCTTTCTTTATTTCCTCCTTTTTTTCTTTCCTTCTCTTCTTTCTTTATTTTCTTATATGTATATCTTTCACTTGTTTAGTAACAAGCAAAGAAAGTTTGCTTGCCTATCCCATTACTGGCCTTTGCAATGCAATATTGCTTATCAGTTTCAATTTCAATTGAAAAACAAACAATGAATTAATTGTTAATTGAAATGTTATAGTTAACTATCATTTATTGTTATTTTGCAACTAACAATTAATCAATTGTTAATAGCAATAAAATTTTGCCCAACAATGAATTAAAGTAAATAAAAACTGATCTTACTTTAATTTAAAAATCTAAGGTTTGAAATCAAATGAAGAATTTGATAGATTGATATAACCAGACATGCAGTTGACTGTACAATCTTAGTCGGTAGATAAAAATTGATAAAATTTAGAAATAACGAATTTTTAAATTACTTATTTGTAAATTGTAATATTAAACACCTTACCGGTTCTCAAACAGTTGCATTTCGCTTGGTGGTTGTTTCGCAGACATTGGAGTAGATTTAGCTAATTCTATCTGCTGTTGCAGCAGCTTATCAAACTCATCTTCTTGTGTTGCGACAGCCTGTTCATCATCACTAGACTCTTTCTGGTCTACTGTCTCCCCACCAAATGTCATTAAACCAAATCTTATTTTGTGAAGATGAACCTACAATAAGTACCTTGTTTTTTATTTAGATATGTACCTTAACAATAAGTGTTGTTAGAACAGTGGCTCATACAACTTTTTTGTGTTCGGTTTATGGTAATGAAGGAAATACCTACTTCTAAAACTGACTATGCCAATGTGCGCCAAAGGAGGGAGGGGGCGGTGGAGACATGCCCTTCCTTCCTCACACCAAAGCTCAGAAAAGAAGTGTTTGGAAAATTTTAGTACTAGGGAGATCATCCTGATAATTAATTATTTTTTGTAGACTTCATACTTTTTTGTTGTGAAAAAATGACAAAACTATATGTGTCTAATAATACGAAAGTAGGAAGAGTCAAAAACATTCTGTTATCTGTTAAAAAATAACCTCTAAATTTATATTGTGACCAACAGGACCAAAGTAACTTTGTTTAATTTATAATTTCATTTTGTTATCAGTTAAAAATAGCCTCGTAATTCAGCAGATTTTTGTGAAAAAGGCTGAAATGTAACATATGACACCTACAGCATTAACTCATCAACAAACATTATTACCTTAACAGGCCTCTTTTTGCCAAGTGTCTCAATTTTTTTCAGACAATCTGCAAACTCAAACTTTGGGTATAGTCTATAGGCCCAGTGCTCAAGTTTCTTCAGTACCAAGTCCAAGTCTTCTTTCTCATGCCCTTTACCTATATATCATATAATATTACTATAGGAAAATTAAGAAAATTTTCAAATTCCATATTTTCATACACATTCAAATTTTAAATCATTTAATCAGTCTATTTTGTTACAAACATTTGTGAATGTTGAAAACTAGACTATCAGTTTGCAATCTACAGCAGCAGACCTTGTATGGAGAATAACCGGCAAACAACAAAGCAATGGCTGCTTTTTTCTCTGTTTTGTTTCATATAGAGAAGTCTAATTGAAAAGTAACACTGATTAGACTATGAAGTCACTTTCCATTAAAATATGAAAAATAATTTTCAAGAGAGTGTGCCTATTCTAGGTACCTAACATAACCAGTGAGCTAGGGAAGTTAGTTTTAATATATCTATCAATGGCTGCAGGACATGGCACATAATACATAGGTACAATAGAAATCACATTAAGTTAAAATATCTAACATACTAAATAATACATTTAGTTATGCTATATGAATATATCCTTATATACATATATAAATAGTTCTAACTCACACCTGCCTTGAAATTTAAAATCCTTGAAATGCTCTGGAATAACTTCAATCCCTCTAGGCCCTGTAAGTCTAGCAGGGTTCAATAAAAATCTTGGGTTCTTTATTACCCGCTTGGTCTTGCTATGTGTGGGATCAATACGCCTTTTATCTTCTTCTATAAATTATAAAAATAGTAAGTTTAACTTCATAACATAAGACACAAAGTATCAATGAAGGCGTTTAACTGCGGAAAATTGGAAGCCCCCATACTTAACCTTCACAGCAGATTGATAAAAATGGCAGTACAATTGTTTTCATTTCACAACTGTAGTTGATTTAAAGAAAACCTTAATATTTATGTTACGTGCCTGCTTCATCTTCTCTTTCTTCGTTCTCATCACTATTGGGAGTTACCGGTCTCTCATCGTAATCCTCTCCTTCAATAACACGTTCCAACTCCTGAGCTTCATCTGCTTCGTTCTCGAGAAAGACATCTTCTAATAAAGACATTAAGCAATTCAAGTAACTTTGTTTTACTATTTAGCAATGTTGTGCTGTTAATAGAAGATTGAAAAAATAATATATTAGTCCAACTTATTTCTCCGCCAAGTAAAAAAGAAACAAACTAACTTTAAAAGCCGCTGAGGCGCTGACCGGCGTGACCACAGAACAATAATACTCACAGACTACGCGCGTGATGATGATGAAGTGACGTTATTAAGCACAGACGAATAAGAGATACTACGGTAGAGCAATAATTATTAATATATCGTTATCTTATCAAAAAAATCGATATGTGTCGATGATATTTTAATTCTCATGTATATATAAATTGAATATTTTTCACTACATATATATAGGTCCCGTAATCCAAAACTATATTTTTATTTTTTGTCTTTTTTGCTTATTGTTATGGATTATCCGGTTTTTAGGTGTTAGGTGTTTTCTGTGACCTATCTAAGGCATTTGATTGTGTTTTTCATGAAACATTGATTAGGAAACTGCATTTTTATGGATTTAGAGATAACTCATTGGATTTTATTGTCTCATACTTGACTGACAGAGTACAGAGGGTTGATATCAATGGCAAAAGATCCCCTGGATCGAAAATTAAGATAGGCGTTCCGCAGGGCTCAATACTTGGTCCTTTCTTGTTTTTGATTTACATAAATGACTTGCCTTATTTCGTAAGGGATGATTACGAAATAGTTTTGTTTGCGGATGACACTTCACTCTTGTTTAAAATCAAAAGAAGGTTACCTCTAAATGACGATGTGAACAATTCTATCGCTAAAGTAGTACATTGGTTTAATGTAAATAATCTTCTCCTTAATGAAGGATATTATTTTTATAATAAGATAGATTATTATTATAAGACCATAGTTTTTTTTTTTTATCTCTGTTTATAATGTATTGATCTGGTAATGACATGGTTTTTGTAAATGTCATTACTCATATTAGAGCTGGTGAGTTTCTTGCTCGTTCTTCTTATCAGCCAAAAGACGTCCTGAACGAGTGGTAGGGAAAAAATGTTGGACGATTCAAAAGTACTTTTAAGAAGTCTATTTGAATAAAGATTATTTGACTTTGACTTTGACTTTGACTTTAATTATTGTATCAGTAAAAGTAAAGTAATTTGATGTCATTGATTCAGATTGAGAATTGAAAGAAATGTATCAAACTTAGTACAGTCATCTAGTGACATTCGTTTTAGTATTTTCATTTTTATATATTTTCTCATCTAACATTAAATGGTGACTATCTGGTATTTTTTCCAAAAAATATAGTTTTTATATTAAATGAAACGAAATAAAAGTGACCAAACGTATTTTAACGTGGAATAACTATATATTATTTAATCGATATTTTATTCGATACGTATTAATATTCCCTTACAATTAGCAATCCATATCGACACTAAAAAGCGGGAAAATTATTTACAGTTAAATGCCGAATATTTAAGTTCATTCAACCACAGCTGGTGAATTTTACTTTTTAATATATTAATTATATTCAACATACAAACTACATAACAATTAATATAACATGCATAGAGAATTGATAATAGGCCACATTTGACAACGTTCAGTGTCAATTTCATAATATAGTTATTTATCTTTTTTAGAGATAAATAAAAGTAAATATCGTTCAGTCCGATATTTGATTGGCAGGAAAAAGTTTGATTCGTGATTAACAGCTATTTGCACTACCCGTAATATAAGAGGCTTCTACGAAATACAACGTTCTAAGTTCAAATCGCTTTAAGTGGTTGGGAACTTTAACACAAATGTATCCTGAATATATTTTTTGATCTTTTTTAGAGATAAAAAAATAGTAAATATCGTTCAGACCGATATTTGAAAACAGGCAGAAAAAGTTCGATTTGTGATTAAGAGCTATTTGCACTACCCGTAATATAAGAGACTTCTACGAAATACAACGTTCTAAGTTCAAATCGCTTTAAGCGGTTGGGAACTTTAACACAAATTATCTCTTTGTGTATTTGCGATTAATTGTAATTGTATTTCTTCCTTTTCTTAAATGAGCTTAATATATTATGATCCGTATTTCTCTTTTAGAATTTGGGTTGCCGTCTTTTTCCCTATTCCCAATGCTTTAGCAACGCGTTCTCGTGTTCGCATTACATGTAAAAGAGGTCCACCGTAAATAAATTCCTACTCAAAATAATTAAACAGTTTCGTCACGAGCTCGCAAGATTGACACTATTTTTGATTGACGTTATTCCGAACCCAAATTCGAATTTACTCATGTGTTCGACTTCACGTCATTTTGTAAAGAAATTCTATCTATTGATTCGATATTTTTTATATAAAAAAAAAAACAAAACACTATTGATTGATTGACGTGTCTCAGATATTCTGTTTCGAAACTCACTTCACTTATGACATGAAACGTTATTACCAATTCAAGATTGAGCGGATGTCGCTTTTTACAGTGATTTTGGATATCTGAGTGAATTCAAATTCGGGTTTGGATTTTTATCTAATCGCAGGGAATGATCTTAATTTTGTTTAATCTTAATTTTGAAAGGACAACATATTTGCACGTTGTATTTTGCACAAACGTTATTCTAGCCAGAAGTCACGTTATTTTGTACGAGTACCTAGTATATTTGGTACATATCTGGCAATTTTTGAGAAAATAAACGGTTTTTTTTTAATAATTATAATTTTTCATGACCTTTGTTACCGATTAATTCCATTGATTTCCGTAACTTTTAAATAACCTTCACTATGCTCACTTCCATTAAGTTATTTTCTATTTTTTTTTCTTTATACAAACAAAAAGAAATTTATTCAAAGATTCATTCGTATTCATCGATTTAATTAGTCGAATTAATGAGGAAGTATTTAAAAAAAAAATTAAGAAAGCACTAAAAAGCACCTCACTAGATGGCGGCTCTAGCAAAAAAATATTTTTGCAGGAAACGAACGGACGAAAGATAGTCATTTCCTTTTAACTAACAAATTAAAAAAAAACTGAAATTTGCAAAGTTTGAAACTTAGATATCAATACAAATAAGAATAAGTATAAATAGAATATGAGTAGTTTAGTGAGTTTTGAAAATTAATTTACTTTTATACAGGAAATAAAACCGGAAGGGTTGTCATGGAGAAATCAAGAACGTACCGTAGCGGCATCTAGTTTGATTTCTGGAACTAATTTTTATTTTTTTAAATACTTCCTCATTGAATTTAACTCGATATTATTCCGAGTTATCAGATCCATAACAACACTGACTATTCAATTGTCTTTGGTCTAACGTCATGAATGAGGTAGTATTAAAAAAAACATTCGTTCCCGAAATAATATTAGATGTCGCTACGGTATTTTCTTGATTTCTTCATGACACACTTCCGGTTTTCTTTCATTTATAATCAAAAGTCAACAAACAAATCATATTCTATTTGTACTTCTTTGTATTTATATTGATATCAATTATATTATATTGATATTGATATTAGTTAAAAGTAAGGGAAATTACTATCATTGGTCCATTCGTTTCTTGCAAAAATCAACATTTGGTAGAGTCGCCATCTAGTGAGGTGCATTTTTAGTGCTTTCTTTTTTTTTCTTAAAATACTAGCTCACTGACATTTAGATTCTACAATCTGTCACTCACCAGACGCCACAATAGTCGCGAGAGGTGCTTAGAGATTGAACTTATAGATCATTCATCATATTAAATAAATAACATGAAACTCTGATATAACTGATTTTTTATCCCGCTTAATTTTATTCCTATTTTTCTTAACTCCGTTTTTATAGGACCGATATTCATTGACTCGTAATTGATAATGAGGAAGTATTTAAAAAAAATAAAGAAACTACAAATATTTATGTCACTCGATGGCAGCACAAATAGTAGGTTCTAAATGTCAGTTCATGACGTTAAACCAAAGAGAATAGAATTGTCAGTGTTCTTATGAATCTGATAATTCGGATCAATATCGAGTTGAAATTCAATAAGTTCGAGTTGCGTAACTCGAACTTATTGAATACAACTCAAAATACGAATGAATAAATTAATAATTTTCTTTTTTATTTGCATAAAGGAAAATGGAAACTTACATGATGGAAGTGATCACAGAGGTTTTTTAAAAGTAATGGAAATCAATCGAATTAATGCTGTGAAATAATTAGGAAGTATTAAAAAAAAAACGAAAGCACTAAAAAAAGCACCACCACTAGATGGCGACTCTAGCAAAAGTTGATTTTTGTAGGAAACGAATGGACCAAAGACAGTCATTTCCATTCCTTTTAACTAATATATTAAAAAACTAAAATTTGAAAAGTTCGAAACAGATATCAATACAAATACGAAAAAGTACAAGTAGAATATGAGTTGTTTATTGAGTTTTTAAAACTAATTTACTTTTAAACTATAGAAAACCGGAAAGGTTGTCATCGAGAAATCAAGAACGTACCGTAGCGACATTTAGTTTAATTTCGGGAACTAATGTTTTTTTTAATACTTATTAAAAGTGGCATTTAGCTACAGTATACAATAATATTATCGTGAACTAGTTTTTATGAATAAAATATTATGCCTTATTAGGTCTAGCAATTTTTTATTATATTATTTAACAAAAGTTCTGAAAACAATAACAACTATACTCCAAACATTATAACATTAGAAAAAAGAGGGTCATAGGAGCAGCGGTGCAGAAAACTTTATTTTAAAGATTAATTTTAAAAATATATATTTTAGCTTTGTTGAAACTTTGAACGTTAGGTAATTTGTTAGAGCTGGGCAATTTTCATTTTTTTTTTGAGATGAGGCCAGCATTTTCTAAATGCATCTTTTATTCCTAAACCAACATTGAACTAAAACTATCTGTCTGTTGCTTTGATAATTAGAATAGAATTTAGTCATTTCTGTGCCAAGGAAAGAAAGGGAAACAAAAAGTTTTTTTTTTATTAATTTTACAACATTTATTCAGATATGAGACTATTGATGAAGACATTTGAAAATTATCGTAATGCACAGTATAAAGTACGTTAGGTTATACAAAAATAACAATATCTCCATTTGATTTTAAACCTTAATACATTAATACAAATCTATTGCGGATATTTGAAATATTATAGTAACAAAACGAGTGATTATTTTAAAAATACATTCGACTTATATTTTACCTCTATAATCTG